CACAAAAAAAAAATGTACTTGCCCTCATGTCATTCCAAACCTATAAGACTTTTGTCTATCTTTAGAACACAAGATTCTAATTAAGAATTAAAATTAAGATTTAAATTTTCTCTCATCATTTTTTGTTAATCCATTGAGAGTCTAGATAACGTCTCTAGGTTACGTATGTAACCATGGATCATGAAAATTGGCAGCGATGCCTGATCTGTATTCATGGACTATGAAACAAACTGTAAGTGTATAATTTGTAAAAACAAAATGTTAAATGCTTGTTCTGTGTTGTTGTTTAGTAGAAATTGAGTTTACACTCTCTCATTCATGCTCACATTTTTTCACACATATGTTTCTGATAAATGTTATAATATCACTGTAAATGTTGTGGTTTATTTATTGTCATGCCAGAATAGTTTGTAAAGAAATGAACTATTAACTAATTGTACAACTATTGTATAATAGTGTTTTTGTGTAATATTTTTATACAATATATAAAATTTACCAAAAAAGTCCAATTTGATCTTAAAAGTTATATTCAACAGATGTTCAATGGTTCATTTATAAACTCTGTAGCTGTTAATGTCATACTTTTCTGCATTTCTTCTTACATGCATGTTACTTTTGATTGTTTTCTCTTGTTTAAAATAAATATTTACCTTTTGATAGTCATTCTGTGTGTTAAAGTGATTTTAAAATGAACAAGATTTGCAGGTTTAATGTCTAGCTCGATTTGGGTTCATTTTAACCTAGCAGTGTAGTAATTTTAAACCAGCATGCTGGGTCAAACATATAACCCAACTTGTTCGGTTAAAACAACCCAGCGCTGGGTTCGTTCCTTTTTGACCCAGCGCTGGGTTGCCAAAATAACCCAAATTGGGTTGTTTTTAACCCAGCCGTTTTTAGAGTGTAGACAAGGTGCTTAGCCAAGCAGTTTGAGATGCCAGGCTTATTCTTATTCATGATGTGTCTGTTGTTCATATATGCTACACCCTCGAAAATCTAAACAAAGATCAACTTCACTATTCATGCAGAAAATAACATTTGCATTGCATTCCACTAAATCTGGGCAATCTATCATTTGCATGCAAAGTGCAAGCAGGCTGACACTTTACATGGAAACAAAAACCAGCTGACTCACTTTTAATGGCAATTTCATAGAGTAAATTTTTAAATGATGCAAGAGTGGAAAAAAACAATGTAAGCTAGAGAAGTAGTGCTAAATAAATATCAGTTTATGCTGTGTTTTTATGCATCAATGCTGTGTTTTTATGCAAAACTGTGACCAAATGTTCTGCAGGGTGTAAAATGTAATAGTTTATCGATCTGTCAGTAAAAAGCCCATATTGTCAGGCATATAGCCTTATGTGTAGCAGACTATGATGTTAATTATTCATCATCAGTTATAGGAACCTAGGTGTGCTATTACGTTTGCTATTACTTTCACTTACTTTTAGTTACCAAAAATAAATAAATAAATATAAACTGTCTATGTGCCCTGTTATAAGTTGGTTATAAAACTAATTTTGCATTTAAAAGGATTTTTGGAAAAAACCTACCTGGCCACATGATTTACAACAGGTGCAAAGTTAGTAGGTCCGTATAGTTGGACGGTCTTTAGACTCTGATGGTATGCCTCTAATATCCCCTCAATACCATTACAGTAGGGATTTTCAATATTGCCATTCTGAAAGATAGGAATCAATGGTTCACGTGTGTCTTCATTTAAGCCAACCAAAGTTCAACAGGAAAACAATGCTGAGGACAGAAAACATGGATTGTATCAATCAATATGACAGCAGAGAATGCCAATTATAGATGTCTCCCATACAGTCTCATCTCAGAATCACTGAACTGCTTCCAGAGCACCAAAGACTAGCTCAACAGCATCTCACGCTCTCAAGTTTATAACTGAGAATGTGAGAAAAACAGAAGGACATTGAGACTCTTGGCATCAACAAACTCTTTTGGACTAATCTCAGGGATTTTCAGGAAGTTCAGTACAACAGAAAGTTGAACATCAGCTCACTCACTAGGGGGAACTCATGAGACACGTGTCCATCGGGGGGCAGCTTGGCTCCAAATCCCAGTGCAGGGAACATCTTGTCACTGTCATAGTCCTGGATGATTTCCCCCACAGCCTTCAGTGCCAGGGCGTAGGCGTTCATCTGGTAGGGGTTCATGTAATGGAGAGACGTGGACTGGGATGGGTTTCCTGAAAATTTAACAGCACACAAAAACCTATCTAGTAAAACAAACATATTAGGAAACCAATAGCAATAGCTAAGAGCTAATTTTTCAAAAGCTAATTTTTTAAGTTTATTAAAATTATTGCTAAACATAGTTCAGTTAAGAAAAATTGTTTTAGCATATTAATTGAAATTACAGTGTTAATGTATTTGGTCTTAGTGGACTAGATTTGCTATGCGCTACTGCTATTGAGTAAGTATGGACTTGCTACTGACAGTTGATACATAGACACACTTCTGTGAGCATGTAAGATATGCTGCTGCTGCATGAATGCATAAATCCCATAACAGATCTAGACAGGTGGAGCTGGGGAGGTTGAGGGTATCAGAGGAACTCTGATAGCGTGCTGCAGGATCAGCTTACAGGGAACATTGAACCAGACCATTTAAATGTTGAGCAAGCAAGCTCATTGGCTGCAGGATCAGCAGAGTCAATCAGCTTGTGCCGTGTAATAAATGATGTCATTGCTAGCAGATTGCATGTAAAGGCCCTATCAATCCAGCCATCTTTTATGACTAAGCAAAAAAATTCAGTCTAATTCAAAATTAATTATTTTAAGTGTTCTGTGTATTTTTATGTTTATTAGAGTACAGCTTTGTTAGCATTTGTTAACTTCAAACTCTACAGTGTAATTAATTCTGAATCGTGCATGCAATTGTGCGTGCAATTTGAATGCAACACAGAGTTGCTGCCTACGTAAAGCCCTTCAAATCAGTCACTTATAAGCATCTCTGATGGTTAAGATGCTGCCTTATCCTGTGTCTACACTGAGCATGACTGCTGTCACATTTGTGTCACGACTCACCGCAACAGCTTGAGGCCATCTACCTTAGATGCGTCAAAGCAAACATTCCAAATCCGTTTGTCCTGTTAAGTAGAATTGCTAGGTTTCCTGAGCCCCCTGTTCAGTTTATTGCATTGGGCCCCCTCGGTAGAAATCTAGTCTCCTTTGCCCTCACTAGCAAAACCCCTGGTCCTGTTTGCCAAGCTACAATCCAGTGTTGACAGTATCACTGATTATAATGATTTATATTTGGTTTTGATGCATGGCACTGCTTGTCCCTGGTGTTGACATGGTGTTTGAAGGCAGGGCCTACGTACTCCATAGGCATCAAGGCAGTTCATTAGGTTTTTGAACAGAGCCACTTTGTCTACCACAAACAAGTCAAGAAGTACATTTAAGAAACATAAATGAGTGCCCCAGGGCTGTTGTCAAGCTATTGATGTTGTTCTGGGCTTGGAACAGTCGGGATTCACACAGTTCTTGTGCTATGGTTGCATTGTTACTAAACTAACTCAGCTCTTTAATTCAGCTCTCTTGCACTGCAGGTAGCCACCTTCAATACACCTCTCAGAAGAAAAAGCTCATGATGCCTTCTATTTCCATCCTCTCACTACCCTGTTCTGAACAAATATCGTTAATTTGCTGAATAATTCAAAGATGTTTGAAAGCAGTTACTTGTGAAAGAACAGTAATTATTTGAATACTTGCAGCAAGTGCGGTGTCGAAAACGACGGGGAGTAGCATTCACTGCCGGCTGGTGTAGCTGGGCCATTTTAGACTGTTTTATCCAACCGGTTCATCTCTCAGCATGACTTAAACCCTTACACAGCTCTCCGTTCAGACCAGCAGCACAGGGGGCCACCCAACAACAACTAATAGGAGTGTATTGAGCAACACAAGCAGTAGAGAAAGGCCGATGATTGGGTTTGGATTCCCTAACCTTTTAAGAGGTCACACACCATTCTCTCCACTTAATTACTTACCGTTAGAGGCGGTGAAATCAATGGCCACAGTAAAATTGATTTGGGTCCTGGGAAAAGAGGCAGAAATGAGAAAACAGAGTAAGCAAAAATGCTCTCTACAGTGATTTATTAGCTTCTATAGAGACATATGTCTGCGTGGATATGTGCTATCACACACACACACGAGCATAAACACGAACATTGCTAAATGATGGCTAATGTGTTTAGTCAACCCCAGCTGCATGGTCTAATTGGGATAAACAGGAAGAGCCATTACTTTGTGCTCACATTACTAGTTCTACTACACTCACACAGCAGAGCAATGCAGCCTCCGCAGGTCCATCTGCATTCCTACCTTTA